ACTAGTTTGCATTCCCACCAGCAATGCAGGAGAGTTCCTTTTTCTCCACATCCTCGCCAACATTTGTTGTTGCTAGTTGTTTGAAGATGAGGCACATATTATTTTAATATTTACTGCTATTAATATTTTTATCTCATTCAGTCAACAAAAAAGCATCAGTGCCTATTAAGATCCAGGCACGGTTCTGGATTAGATTACCATGTCTTAAAACGCTTTAAGCCCATTGGAGAGACAGGCCCCTGTAAATCTACAGTTAAGCACATACCAGTATGATAGTTTTTATGGCAACTATTGCACACACTACTGAGGCACCAAAGAGGAGGAATTGATTCTTTGACCTCAGTCTGTTCATAGTAAGAATTATGCTTGGAGGGAAAATGTAGGGAAGGTGAGAATATGAATGATCCCTAATGTGTATAAGTAGAGAAACTGAAGAAAATGTATTTCTGTCAGTCAGTGGTGGGTTTTCTTTCTTTCTTTTTTAAAGATTTATTTATTCATATAGAATTGGGGTACAGGCCAGAGATGCGGAGGGTGAGAGGATTCACCAGAGACAGAGCGGGGAGCAGAACAGGCAGATCTACTAAGTACACCGCTGGGGGGAGCGGTGGGCAGTCCAGGAGAGAGGTCTGCCTCGCCATGTGGATCTCCTAGGGGCAGGCGGGATCGAACTCATGCGGAAGTGGCTTAAGCTTCTTAGTGCTGTGCTTTAACCCTCTGTGCCACCAGGGAGGGCCCAGTGGTGGGTTTTCAAATGGAAGGAGGGTTGGGCTTATGGGAGAAAGCAGTTGAAAATTTTTGATAAGTAGATATAGCCACTGAAAAAAACATAGAATTCTTTGGTAATGCAAAATGATTGCTGAAATGAAAATTTTACTACAATAAAAATGGAAAAAGGGCCCTCCCTGGTGGCGCAGCGGGTTAAAGCACGGCACTGAGAATCTAAAGCCGCTTCCGCATGAGTTCGATTCCCGCCTGCCCCGGAGGTGACCACATGGCGTGGCAGACCTCTCCTGACCCGCCCGCTGCTCCCCTCAGCAGTGTACTCCATCGATCTGCCTGTCCTGCTCCCCACTCTGTCTCTGGTGAAGCCTCTCACCGCCCCTGAGCCTCTGGCCTGTACCCCAGTTCTGTATGCACAAATAAATAAATCTTTAAAAAAAAAATGGAAAAAGAATATGAACATCCAGTTTCTAGTGAAGAAATATCAATGACCCATAACATAAAAAGGTATTTCATTTTATTAATGTGCCAATAAATGCAAATTGAAAATAATTTCAAATTGGATAAGTTCTTTAAAGGATAACTTATTTAAAGTTATCAATAATTACTGGTAACAAAGTTTGAGGAAAGCTGAAACTTACTGGCTGGAAGAACTATGCTCACCAACTGTTACTAAATTCTGAATGACTTCATTTTATCTGCAGACCTGAAAATGTTTCAGCCTAAAATGACAAGGCAAAACAGTACTTAAATGTGAAACTTAGACCACAATAAATTTATTTCAGTGAAAACCACTGTTTGATTTGCAAGTAATGTCAGGCTATGTTATGTATTTCCTAGATAGTTGTATCTTTTTAAAAAAAAAGTAAAATACCTGTTTCTATACAAATTCCCAGCAATATTTTCTAATTTCAATCCATTACAGCATTTTTTACTTTAACGCAAGTGCAAAGGAAATTACATATTCCAAAATATATTTACCTGTGAAATTGAGGAACTTTAATTGGAACTGATCAGTTTGTAGTGTAATGATATTCTAGTCTTTTAGCTAATGGGATTCTAAAAATGCTATCTAATTAGTGAATATGCTCACATAAAGCCACATGTTCATGAATTAACATCAGTATTTGGACATTCCTACCTATAAAACATTTGCAAGGGTGAAAAACATAAAATTTTATCATAGACTGGCATTAACATGAACATTTGAAATAAATGTTTATGAGGAATACCAACTGTTAACCCTAATTATCTCCCCAAAGAACATTATTTACATTTATAAGCCATTTCTACAAAAACTGTATTTAGTATCACATTTTCAGTTGTCACAATAAAGAATTGTGGAAATTTGTTTTCTCATGTTTTATAAGTACCTATGTCATAATTTAAATTTGCCTCTTGGTCCACAAACCTAAAATATTTTCTATCTAGCCTTTCATGTATTTCAACAACTTATCATAATTTAGAATTTGCGTATATATATTATATATATATATTTGGGAAATCTTCCTGGGGAAATAGAATGACAATAAAAAAGACTGGTATTATTAACAACATTGCTTACTTATCACAATGGAAAATTGGAAGCAACTTCAGAATACATAAGTTGCAATAATCATGGTTTTTTTTTTTCTCTCTTGGCCCAAGAGAGTCATGGTACTTTCTTAATAGATTTTTATAGTCAATGAAGAAATTAGTAATAATTTGAAAACATGCACTAGCATCTGCTAGTATTTTATTTAAGATTTTTGCATCTGTGTTCTTAAATAAACAAAGCCTATAATTTTACTTGGACTTGATAGCTATCAAGCCCCTGACTGCTATCAAAATTATACTAGATTTAAAAAGTAAGGTAATTTTCTATTTTCTTTTCTGTAGCAAAGTTTGCATCTAAGTCTTCACTGAAAATAAACCAAAAATATACTGAAAATCAAGTAGACACCAGATTAAAACACAGGCTTTTGTGTAAATCTTTTTGGTAAGTATTCAAATTTCATAGCAAGCTTCCGAGTCTATACAGCATGATTCTATCCCTGATATCCAGACATCAATCCAGACATAATTACTACATGCTTAGTTTAGTAAAGTTCGGTTTGTTTTGTTGGTCTCTTTTTGTAAGTTCATTGTATAAGCTCAAGATGGAATATAACAAATCTAAAGTGACAACATAGATGACAATTGACTTAAAAATTGTCATACTGATACATTCCAGCACTTTTGCCACCCAACCATATTTATGTACTAGGGATAGTTACAAAAGTGTGACTAACTTGAAGTTAGTTTTCAGAAAAATGAGCTACTTAGTTTCTGTCACTCTTAATAACAATTTTATAAATTACCATTTGCCACAATGACATATTAGTAGTTAGCACTGTTAAGTGAAAAGATGATAAACACTGATAAGTCTTTGGGGGTCATCCAAGTTTAAAAATGTTTATGTATTCTGCCTGTATATGCACCACCTAAATTCTAAATACAAAACTTACTCATTACCTTTCACAGATGACTTCTAAATATACTGTTAGAATGAATATGCACATTTACAACAAAAAGTATCTAAAATGAAAAAAAAATTGAATTATAGATAGCATTCTGTGAATCACATTTTGGCTTAGTGATTGACAATAAGTATAACTATAACAGTATCTTAATGTTATAACCTTTTCTGTGTTTTACAAAATTTCTGGGAATTGATAGGTTTATATGAAGTAACAGAAGCACTTAAAAAGACATGAAACAGGGCCCTCCCTGATGGCGCAACGGGTTAAAGCACAGCACTGAGAATCTAAAGCCGCTTCTGCATGAGTTCGATTCCCGCCTGCCCCGGAGGTGACCACATGGCGTGGCAGACCTCTCCTGACCCGCCCGCTGCTCCCCTCAGCAGTGTACTTCGTCGATCTGCCTGTTCTGCTCCCCACTCTGTCTCTGGTGAAGCCTCTCACCCTCCGCATCTCTGGCCTGTACCCCAGTTCTGTATGAATAAATAAATAAATCTTTTTAAAAAAAAAAAGACATGAAACAACTTACACATTTTTAAAAACTAACAGCTTATTTTTACATCATTTTGTGCCTTTTTCCATCTCAGTTGTAATCCCCATGGACTTTTCATCACCAAATCACCATGTGCCATCACTGTAGTCCATGTGTCATCACTGTAGTCTAGTGTATTTCCCTCCCCCCACTGTTTTTGGTCCCATTCCCCACTCCACCCCCATAAATGTCTCTGGTATATAACTGTTCCTTATTATTATTATTATTTTCTCGCCTGTTCCATTATTTCAGATGAGAAAAACCATCTGGTATTTTT